GGTGGGGTAGGAGAGGGAGAGGGACAAGCAGACTCTGGCAGAGAGTCTGATGTGGGGCTCAATCTCAGGACCCTGAGATCATGACTTGAACCGAAATCAAGAGTTTGGTACTCAACCAACAGAACCACCCAGGTGCCCTGAAAATAACTATTTAATTTGATAAAATGACTCATCCTAGAAAGAAAGTTTTGCCACAACCATAAATGATATTTGGGAGAAAAACACTTTTTTCTCATCACCGTGAATGACGAAGAGATTACTTTTTTGGTTTATAACGTCTCCAGGCAGTGCCACTCACATTTTATTCAGTATGAATTGGATTGTCAGTGAATGGTGTTTTCTTGAAGCTTTGAACCGTAGCTCTGATGTCACCTGTAGGAAGCAGGTATAGCTATTCCAGAATGTTATTTTAAGTCAGGTTCAATAATTCAAGTAAACTTGCCATTCGGGACCTGCTCAGAAGTATGCATTGCCCTGATGGTGATAATGTTTGGCAGATGGTAATTGTTGAAATGGTGGTAAAGTTTCAGAGTTGATCATGTAGCCAACCATTGTGTCAGTAACCAGTGATTTTTGTGGATGGGATGGATTGAATGCGAATTGTGAAAGTTGGTGATAATATTCAGTAATCAGATCATAGAATGCCATCTTAGATGTCATCTAGCAAACACTGTGGCTCAAGCCCTCAGGAGGAGGCAGTCTATTATAATGGTTAAGAATGGGGTTTGGAAAACTATCGTCTGGGGAGTCAAACAGGGCTCATATTGTTTTGTAGACAAAGTTTTATTGGAACACAGCAATGCCCATTTACTTAGGATTTGTCTGTGGCTACGACAGCAGAATTGAGTAGATACAGTAGAGACTGTAGGGCCCACAAAGCCAAAATATTTACTATTTGGCTCTGAATGGAGAAGTTTGATGATCTCTGGTTAAAACCATAGGTTTTAGAGACTTAGGCAGGGCTGCGGTTCAATCCTCATTCGTAAATTTGAATGCCAAACTCATTAGTGCCAAAACTTGAAGTGAACTGACATAAAACTATTTTTAATCTATTTCTAATTACCTATCTATCTACCTATCTATCCATCCATCATCTAACAGTCTACATATGATCTATCATCATCTATCATGTATCTATCATCTAATCTGCCTCTATCATATTAATCAGAGGACTCTAACAGCTGTACTAAAACTTTCAAATCTTAGTGACTTGGCACCATATAAGCTTACTTCACACACAGTGAAATGGGGAGAGTGCTCTGTTCCATGCAGTCATTCAGAGATCCGGGCTCCTTCCACTTTGTTGCAAGGCCAACTGAAATATGTGAGCTCATAGTCCCCACAGATAGGAAGAGAGAAGAAGGAGATGTGGTCACTTCTACTCATATCTCATTGGTAAATCTCAGTCATGGCTCCACCTAACTGCTGGAGAAGCTGGGATTATGGCCTATTCATGAGATCACCGAGCGGAGCACATGGACATCGGTCATCAGTAGCCATCCCTGCCATGTTTATCATGTATCATATTTCACTGCATGACTATTACACATTTGATTATAGCATGCTGCAGACCCTACCAGAGACATTAAATAATATGGACTAGTGTATGCAGGGTATTACTTGCCTAAATCTGCTGGGCTGTGAATGACAAAACTCAGCTGGCTTTGAGGCTTTCAGATGAGGGGCTGGGGATCTATATACATCTCTCAGGCAGGATAACAATTGCTAAAAGATGCATTCTGGTGCCAGACTGCCTGAGTTTGAATCCTGGCCCTCCTACTTTCTAGCTGTGTGACCTTGGGCAGGTTGCTAAACCTCTCCATGATTCCCTTTCTTCATTTGCTAAAAAGGAGTTAATAACGGTACCTGTGAAGATGAACTAAGCTAGTATATATAATGCACTCAGCACAATTGCCTGACTCATGAGTTCAAATGAGTTCTAAACAAGAGTCAGTTATTATTACTGTGTATAGCTAATACTATTTTTAAACACTTAGTATTAGTGACTGACACACAGTAAGTACTTACTATATGGTGAGATGCAGAATTATCTTTCATACCATTGTGGACAGAGCGATCATGTAGCCATTGAATGAATATGTTCAGTGATAGAAGATTACTGTTTAACAAGATGACCAACGTCGTTATTAATTGGCTTTGTTGGAAAAATGTCTCGTGTAATAACTACTTTGGTAACACCTTATAAATATCAAGCATGTATTTGGTGCCAGGCACTGAGCCCAGGACCATGTGGCTTCACTGGTAAATTCTGCCAAACATTTAAAGAACTAATACCAATCCTTTTCAAACTCTTTCAAACAATTGCAGAGGAAGGAATATTTCCAAACTCATTCATGAGGTTAGCAGTACCCTGGAACCAAAACCAGATGAAGGTACCACAAGAAAAGAAAACTACAGGCTAATATTCTTGATAAATATACATCCAAAATCCTCAACAAAATTCCAACAAATTCTAACAGCCCATTAAAAGGATCATACAACATGACCAAGTAATCTTTATCCCCCTGATGGAAAGATGGTTCAACATATACAAATCAATTAATGTGATATCCCACATTAACAGAATAAAGAAGAAAAATCACATGATCATCTCAATAGATGCAGAAAAAGCATTTGACAAAGTTGAATGCTCTTTCATGATAAAAACTCTCAACAAACTAAGAATAGAAGGAAAGCATCTTCACATAATGAAGGCCATATATGACAAGCCCATAGCTGACAACATGCTCAATGATGAAAAATTGAAAGCTTTCCCTCTGGGATCAGGAGAAAGGCAAGGACACCCAATAGTGCCACTTCTATTCAACAGAGTACTGGAAGTCGTAGCTAGAGAAATTAGGTAAGAAAAATAAATCAGATGACATGATATAATATATAGAAAATCCTAACAATTACACCAAAAAACTGCTAGAACTAATAAACAAATTCTGTAAAGTTGCAAGATACAAAATCACATACAAAAATTACTGTGTTTCTATATATCAACAATGAATTATCTGAGAAGGAAGCTAGGAAAACATTCCCATTTACAATAGCACCAAAAAGAATAGAATAAAAAACTTAAGAATAAACTTAACTAAGGAGATGAAAAACGTGCATACTAAAAACTGTGAAACACTGATGAAAGAAATTAAAGAAGACACAAACAAATGCAAAGTTCATGAGTTGGAAGGCTTAATATTGTTAAAATATTCATACTACCCAAAGCTATCTGCAGATTCACTACAACCCTATTAAAATCCCAAGTGGTATTTTTTACAGATAGAAAAAATTCATATGGAACCACAAAATACCACAAATATCCAAATCAATACTTAAGAAAGAACAGGGCTAGAGGCATCACAATTCCTGATTTCAAAGTATATTACAAAGTTATTATAGTAATCAAAACACTATGGTACTGGCATAGAGACAGACATATAGACCAATGATACAGAATAGAAAGCTCAGAAATATATCCATGCACATATGGTCAACTGAGCTTTGACAAGGGTGTCAAGAATACACAATGGGGAAAGGGAAAGGATAGTCTCTTCAACAAATGGTATTAGGAATACTGGACACCCAACTCAAAAGATTGAAATTCCATCCTTACCTTATCCCATACACAATTATCAATTCAACATGGATTAAAGACTTAAGACATAAGACCTGAAACAGTAAAGCTCCTAAAAGTAAACCTGGGGGGAAAACTTCATGATATTGGTCTTGTCAATGATTTCATGATAGGACTCCAAAAGCACAGGCAACAGAGTAAATAAACAGGTACTAAACTAAAAACTTCTGAGCAGCAAAGGAAACAATCAGTGGAGTGAAAAAGCAACCTACAAAATGCGAGAAAATATTTGGAAACCATGTATCTGATAAAGGGTTGTCTCAAAAATATATAAGAAATTCCTTCATCTCATCTAACAACTCACAAAAAATGAGCTGAGGACTTGAATATACATTACTCTGAATATATCCAAATGGCGACCAGGTATATGAAAAAATGCTCAACATCCCCAATCATCAGGGAAGTACAAATAAAAACCACAATAAGATAGCACCTCACACCCATCAGGATGGCTATTAACAAACAAATGAAAGGTAAGAAGTGTTGAGGATGGGGTGCCTGGGTGGCGTCTGCCTTCAGCTCAGGTCATGATCCCGGGGTCCTGGGATCAAGCCCTGCATCGAGCTCCCTGCTCCGGGAAGCTTGCTTCTCCCTCGCCCACTCCCCACGCTTGTGTTCCCTCTCTTGCTGTCTCTCTCTCTGTCAAAGAAATAAATAAAATCTTTATTAAAAAAAAGTGTTGAGGATGTGAGTAAATTGGAACACTTGCACACTGTCAATGGGAATCATAACTGTGTAGCCAGTATATGGAAAACAGTATGGAGGTTCCTCAAAAAATTAAAAATAAAAATACCATGTGATCCAGTAATCCTACTTCTGGATAATTATCCAAAAGTATTTGAAATCAAGATCTCAAAGAGGTATTAGACTCCCATATTCATTGCCACCCTATTCACAACAGCTACCCTGCAATATGCAACAACATGGATGAACTTGAGGACATGCTGAGCCATCAGAGACAGACAAATACTGTATGATTCCACCTACATGAGGTATCTAAAATAGACAAATTCCTAGAGTCAAGGAGTGGAATGGTGGTTGTGGGGGGCTGGGGCAGGGAGAAATGGGCAGTGACTAAGGGGCATAAAGTTTCAGTTAAGCAAAAGGAATAAACTCTAGAGATGTGCTGTATAGCATTGTACCTGTAGTCAACAATATTGTAATATACACTTAGAATTTTGTTAAGAAGGTAGATCTAATGCTCAGTGTTCTACAATAATAGCAACAGCAATAATAATAAAGAAAAAAAGTCTCAAAAAAATGTTATTAAACCACCCAAACTCAGATTTTCCCTGTAAATAGACTAAATTTCTTGCAATGTGTCTAAAGTCAAATCATATATAAAAAAAAGTCTATGACTTACCTCAAAACTCACAGCTCCATTGTGGTCCGTATCAAACGCATTAAACAGAAAATGTGCGTATGTTGTCGAGTCTGAAATGTTGCAAAGGGAATATCATTAAGGCAGCGTTCCAATACTCTACTGAAGACTGGCGTAGCATGCCAGAGCCTCCTTCTAGTTAGGAAAACTTACTCCATCTCCTCTACTTGTGCTTTCTTCCTGGCTGTGCACCTTCGTTCAGTAGGGGATTATAATTTGAGATTCATGAGAGTGAGTTCCTCACACAGAGGCCATTGATGATAAACATTCTCTGTAAGGTTGTTACTGGAAATGCTCTGAGCATCTGGGAGTCTTGGGTGATGTTCCTGGCACTGAGATGAGTAATGGTACCATAGATGGGTGTGAGGATGAAGTGAGATGCATCTGGAAATTGTTTAGTGCTTGGCAGGGGCTATCTTTACAAGTAAAATAATAAAAATCCTAAGAGTGTGGGATGCCTGGGTGGCTCAGTCATTTGGGCATCTGACTTGATTTCCACTCGGGTGGTGATCTCAGGGTCATGGGATCAAGCACCCAGGTGTGCTCAGCGCTCATCGGGGAGTCTGCTTGAGATTCTCTCTGTCTCCCTCTCCCTCTGCCCCTCCCCTGCTCTCTCTCTCTAAAATAAATTAATTAAAAACAATACTAATAGTGAGACACACATGAATTGACACTTTTAGTGTTGTGATTATGAGGTTGTTCATCATTTTTACAACTCAGATAAAGATAGGGATTCAGAGAGGTTAAGAAACTTGCCCAAAGTCACACAGTCAATTAGTAAAGAGGGATGAAACTGGGTCCTTCTGACTGGAAAACCATGCTAGCCCACAGCCAGTGAAGTGGTCTGATGAACTGAGGACAGGGGTCACTTGGGAAGTTTCTGTGGTCATGGTAGGCGTGTGGGGTCCTGAGGGCCCCTGGGCCTTGGGTGGGATTCACGGGTCTAGGTAACACTGGGCAGTATGGGACGGGGCTCATTCCCCAGCACCTTGCAATGCCGCCTGATAACCCAGGAGTATATCTGAGATCCAACATATCCGCTGAGCTTGCTTCTAGGGGGTTTTCCCATTTTTCCTCTTTTACTTTTTCTCTGTTGTCTCCCTTCATCTCTGAGCTTTCTGCTGTTTCATGTTAAAAGTATATTTTTTCTTGCTATTTTCTTTTCTTAGTGCAGTTTTCATTTTTCAGTGCTTCTGTGCTTGACCTTGATCAAATTTACTTAATTATTTTAGATGTTTCATCTCATGGTTTTAGCTTTTTACCTTAACCTTTTTTATATTAGAAAAAAAAAATTGTAACCTTTTAGCTCATTGGCTCCAGGCTTTTATCTTCCGTTTAAAATCTCATCTATTTCTATTTTATAACTTTTAACCTTTATTTTTTATTGGGATTGAACAAAATTTCTTACTCACCTTTTTCTTTATAAATTGCTTTTTAAAGGCTGTCAAGAAACTAAGTCATAGTGTCAGTAGGAGAGAATCACCCTTCCCAAATAAGGGAGGTCAGAGGTCATAGAAACTTCCCTCCCAGCTCTCAAGCACCCATGGCCCACTTATGGATGGTTTTTCCTGAATGCTTCACCCAGTGGTAAGTGCTATGGAAGGCCATATATTTTACAAGGTAGACTGAACACTCAGTTTCTCAAAATGATTGTGGCATTGTCTTTTACCTCTTACCTTTAAATACGATATATGAAACCACTTGTTTTTAAACATAGGAATTATTAACACTGTTCTCTATGAACTAACCAGGGACCACAATTGGGTCTAAACAGTATGTACTATAATTGTTTCTAGAGTGAATGTCCACACAGTACTGATGAGTTGCAGAAAGAAATCCTTTTAAATATGGGTTATTCCCAGGGATTTGGTTATAAACAATTTAGTGCCATTCTTGGGAAGTTCCATTATAGAGTTGTCAAGAATTGGCAGCCTTTTTTTATTCACATAGTTGTTTTGCTCTCAACAGTGCTGTTACACAGACTTCTTGAACTATTTAGTGCCCTATGGTGATAGGAATTGACAGGTGGTATGTTAAACTTACTTTCCAAGGGAGAAAAAAAGAGATTTTGCATATTTTATAATGAGCTTCATTAAGCAGATCTCTTGGTATCCTATTTAGACAATCAGGGTACATGCCTTTACCTTAGCAAGCAGGACTCAACATGAATAATGGCTCAGAACAATGTTGGCAATTTTTTTTTAAATTAAAAAAATAAGCTAACATGAACATACAGTAATTAGCTTTCTTCTTAAATGGGGTCACTCTAGCTTTAAAGCTTGACACATGGGACAGACACTCTCAAGCTTTGCCCCGATGTGGTATAGAGGACTCCTTGTTCCTATAAACGTACCTTGGCAATTCCCCTGGAAGTTAAACCAGTTTTCCAGCCCAGATATACTGTGCAGACCGCAGTTCTTACTAGTGTAGTGAAGTTGGACTGCCTGGGTTTGAATTTCAGCTCTCCCAAACATCAACTCAATGGCTTTGGGAAAGTTGTTTAACCTCTCTGGGACTCAGTTTCCTCATCTACAAAATAATAACACCAGTATGTACTTTGTAGGGTCCTAAAAAGATTAAATGAGATACTAATATGCAAAAGTGCTTAGAACAGTCCTAAGCACATATTAAATTTAAGTTCAATAAATATTATCTATTATAATTATTGTTTCACAACCACCTTAAAGAAACGTGAGTAAAATTTTTACAGATATAATACTTTCCCACCTGAAAAAGTTCCTGCGGTTTTTTTGTTTTTGTTTTGTTTTTTTGTGAAATCTCTATTGTGTGTTTAGGTGACTGGAGTTCTTCCTGCTCTATAAAGACCAGTAGAATTGTATCATGAAGGGTTATTGTGGCTTCTGCTGGGGTTTGGATTTTTTTGGACAGGCGTCTGGAGACTGTGAAAGTTTCTGAAAAAGGGGAGTGATGTTCTGAGCTTTGATTGGATGAGAGGAAGGAGCTAAGGCACTGGAAGTATCTGGCTGGGCACAGAGGTAGATACATGAAGAAAAGGGAAACTGTCCACAAAAGCATCTGTGGTCAAGTCTCATCTGATGGGTGTTCTTTTTAGACACTCAATACATATTTACTTACACAATGAATAACTGGCATCCTGGAGTCTAGATTTCAGTACAGTTGGGAGCTCAAAGATAGAACATTGATCTCTCTTCTCTCCACATGACCCAAAAGTCTTCCCTGACCACGTTTCCTTACACATAGCAAAAACAGTTCCTGAGTTTGATATGCTGAGATTGCCTCAGTTTCTTACAATCTTACTTGTGAAGTAGAAAATTAAATGTGGAAATTTTGTGGTTGGGGGACAAAATTTATGGATGCTTAGGACAGGAAGGTATCTTAGATACCATTTAGTTGTTTATCTACATTTAACAAAGGTGGAAAAGAGTTGCAGGTAAATTCAGTGACTTAACTAAGATTACCTAGTTGGTTAATGATAGAGTTGGTAATGAAATCAAGACATTCCAACATCAGCTCCTAGAAATAAAGGATGTGTAGAGTAGAAAGAAAACAGGAATTTTTGTTCTACATTTTATAGATGTTATGAAAGTATTGCTCCACAGGAACAACCTGAGGCCCACAGCAATACGCCATTTGAGTCACATGCCTTTGTGGTGTTACAGTCTCACAAAACCAAGACTCAACTTAGTCCAATGACTTTAACCCAATTATTTCCAACCCCCATCGATAATACCAACTAACCCCTTGATTGAAAAAGCTATCAATGCACATGAATTTCAGAGAATTTGAACAAGTGCACTTGATTATCATGATCCAGGTCTGTGGATTGAAATCAATCTGGCCGATTTTTTCTTCCTACCACAAATCCCTACTCCCACTTGAATTCAAGCCCAAGGTACAGAATTAGTTTAATGCATTTGAATATACAATTCAAAACACTGTTGCTATGGTGAGGCAGGTTCATATACATGAATAATAGTTTCTGTTTGATAAGGCCTCTATAAATCACCCTGAAAATCCTTAGAAATATTGTTCTAGGACAAGAAATATATTCCATGGGTGGTGTTATTAAAAAATCTTTATGCCCTTGACCCCGTCCAAGTGCCTTGCGCACAGTGACGGCTCAATAGGTGTTTGTTGACTTACAGTCTTCTGAATAGAGCTAATTCTTCTGTTCCTTGCATAGCTAGTAGGTGCCTGGCACAGGCAAAGTAACGGAAGAATCCCTACAACATGAGCAAGAGGAGCCCAGGAAACTGCAATTTTCACAAGATTTTAAAATGTTCAGTGAACTTAAGAGTGTCCATGCTAAAGTTTCCGCTGTACATGATGTTGAAAAAGTATTGCTGTAACGATACCAGGAAGGGTACCAACCAGCCATTCATTTCCTCTCAGCTGGCTTTCTAGCAGGCATAGTTTATGTCCCTCACAAACCAGAAGCTTCTGCTCACTCCATTTGTGCTGCCATCCAGAACGTCAAACAGGTTGTCCTTGGTAAACCATCTGGCTAAGCAGTAGAGAAAACTAAGAGCCTGACACAATACAAATTGCAGGAAGTTCTGTAGAGAAGACAAAGTTTTTTCCTAGAGGAAATGGTGAGATGTGGTGATTTATGGACCTGCCATTGTTCGTGCTCATAATTAGAAACCTGTTGCTTTCAGATCTAGATAAATGGCTCCATAGAAGCGTGAGGATGGCCATGACATGAATTTGCCTCTCATTGGAGATTGTGTTCTTCCTCAAGACATTTCCCCCCCTTTCTAGCAGCGCGGCAAGATACAATTTGCATGTGTGATATTAATTTTTTATTTTTTTATTTTATTTTATTTTCTTATTTCCAAAATTTCTTATTGGAGTACAGTTTTGAATATTAGGGTTTTTTTGTTGTGATATTAATTTTTTAAATTGCGAGTCATCATTCTTTAAAATACGTCATTTCCTTCAGTAGTGCCTGGTACTTTTAAATTTATCATTCAATTAACATGAATAGTCAAAGAATTTTTAAGAAAGCAAAAGTGATTTTTTTTCCCTCAAATCCCGTTGGATTTTGCAAGAATCATTTGCAAAGGATTGTGCTTAAGTAGATGTTCTCTAATGCCAAAATGTTATTTTTCAAATAAAGATAAATTTTTAATGTGAAGCTTTATCCCATTTGTAGCATGCCATAACTTTCACTTGAGATAATAAAAAATAAATTAAAGACTTCCATTTGTGCTAGATCTTTGATATTGCTGTTAATCAATATGCTGACAGATACTTAGTTATAATGTAAACATGATTTTTCTTCAGAAATGCCATGTTTTTTCAATAATGTAGAAATAGATGAGTTAATCAAATGATATTCCAAATTCTTTATTAAGGCAGACAATGGACCCATTACAATCTGGGCATCAGGCCCTATGACCAATAGCTGTCCTTGGGCTGTTAGTAATGAGATGGGGTAGGGGGAATTGTCACCCATGAGATATCCAAATTCATGTAATAATGGGTCACCTTGTGTTTTCTCAGAATTCTAATTTAATTCTTTTTAAATAATTTAATTCTTTAAAAGGAATTGTTTTTAATTTAATTCCTTTTAAAGGTCATCATGAATGAAAATGTCTATTTTAACAATTCATGCACAGAATTGTCTTCAACCGGCTGAAATATCTAAAACCAAATGGATTAAAAACCAAAAGAGAAGCTAATATTTGTCTGAAACTAATATTTAAGTGTTGTATACTTTCAAAATGCCTTTTGCAGATATTATTCCATTGCACTGTCCCAACCACCATGCAGTTTCGTGTCACTCGTTCATTCCTGCTTTCGCTCATTTATACAGTGTGGTCGAGTCCAACTGCTCAATCGGTGACTTTTCCACCACCTGTGAGCACTGCAATGAACAACACACAAAACCCTTCGGTCCTTGGGAGAAGACATTCCAGTGAGGAAAGAGACAATAAACAACAACAAAAAGAGGTAAAATATGTATTATTAGGTGCTCTTGAGTGCTAAAGAGAAACATAAAGCTGGCATGGGGAGAGCCGAAGGGGTTGCAGTTTAAGATAGGGTGGCCTGGGAAAGCCTTGCAGAGAAAGTGGCATCTGAATAGGAGCAAAGGTGGTGGGCTATTGGGTTGGATATTTGGGAGAACAAGAATCCCAGGCAGAGGGAAGAACAGGTTCAAAGGCCCTAAGCAGCAGCCTGACTGGTGTGCCTGAGGAATTACAAGGAGGTGGCTGTGGCTGGAACATAGGGAGCCAAAGGGGGAGGGGGGTGGGGGAAGGAGGAGGCAGAGAGGGACCAGGAGACCAGGGATCGCAGCTTACAGGTCACTCTACAGGTGTGGCTTAGACTCTGATGGAATGGAACGTTCTGAGTAGAGCAGAGACAGGAGCTGGCTTATACCGAACAGGATTATTCCGGCTCCTGTTGAGAAGAAACCACACTGGGGGAGCGGGGACGGGTCAGAATCAAAGACTAGTTTAGAAACTATTGCAGTTACTTTGGCGGGAAAAAATGGGGGCTGCTTTAAGCGGGAAGCAGTCAAAAAGGATGACAAGGAAACAGTGAGCTTCTCTGCACCTTGGTTTTCACATTTATTAAAAGGGGAGAGTCATGGCTACGTTAGTTGGGAGGCGAGGGGGTAGTGCGTGCCTGGGCTGGGCACATATTCGATGCCTCAGGAGTGGCTGCTACTACAGCTCAGGTCAGTTTGGTGCCTTCTTTTTTATGTCTGCCCTGTCCTTCAGCTGGTCTAGTTGTGCCTGCACAGTACTCTCGTTAATGCTATGATTTAAACCCCTATCTTCACACTTAATGCCTTATTTCGACATTGCCCATCTGCAGCACTAAACTGGAACATTCTTTTGGGCAGGTACCACATCTTCTTCCTCTTTCATTATCGGCACCTAACACATAGCCGGGCACACAGTAGACTGTGTTTGAGCTGGGTCTCTTGTTGAATGAAAGAGAACCTATAAGGCCCAGGGGCAAATAGACACCTTCGCTCATCTCTAAAAGGTATGTGTTATTTTTATGATTTCCTTGTTTCCTTTCCATTTAAATTAATATTTAGAGTGGTATTAGCTTTCTCAGATGTGGGGGGAGGTGTGATGGCAAGAGGTCCTAAAAGAGAAAGAGCAGAAAGAACACTAGGTGAGGCTCTAGCAAAATCTAGCCATTATCTGCCACATGATGCATGACCCTGAGGAAACCATTTAACTTCTCTAAAGCCCAGATTTCACATCTGAAAATTGACGATAATTATATTTGTCCTAATTTGAGAGTGGGGAGAATCAAATGATACCTACAGTGCATGCTAAAGAGCTTTGTGGCATATCATGGACCAAGCCATCATTGTCCAAAGGTGCTGTGCCTTTGAGAGCCACAGTATGAGATACACAGTATTACTGCTTCTTGTATTCTGCTGAAGGAGAAATCTCGACTATCTGACATTTTGTAAGGAGCTCACTTCTACGATATGTTGGAAATTATATGCACTTGCATGTTGTGTATTAGTTCTTTTGCATAGCGATTAAAAATGTAGAATCATGCCATAAAAGATTAAGCCAAATTCAAGATTGCAAGCATAATTCTAACAGAGAGTACGTTAACAAGTCCACATTTGCACTTACCTCCCTGTGGAAAGAACTGTGAGTATATCTCTTTGAAGGTTTCTTCATTAACAACACCACTGGGACATTCCTAAAGAAAGCGGTAGAGAAGCAATATGAGCAAAGTGTTCATAAAACTGATTTTTTGCACATTTTGAAACAGAACTGTCTACTGCGCAAAGCTGTACCAAGGAAAGGGAACAATCCATCCGTTTTTGAAAGAGAATAAAAGCACACAATAAACTCTTCTTTGTTCCAGTTCTCATAGAATGAAAAAAAATTACAAATGTAAAAATCTTTGCATATTATAAATATTAAAGCTGGGCTGACACATGAAAAAACACACTGTTGCTTTTAAGAACACAAATGTTTATTATCAACAAAGTAAGAGGAAATTACGTTGTTTTTTATATAGCAATGGTATCGCAAGATGCTTATGATGTGCTCTTTGCTGGATATTGATGCCATGTTCCTCTGGCGATTTGCTGGACCCACATTATCTTTAGTTCAGTAAGAAAATGGTGTGCTCCATCTGGGAGTGGCCCAAGCAGGAATAGCTACTAATTTCTGTTCCCAGTGTGTTCAGGAGTGCATAACAGCATGGTTTGTGACAAGTGACCTTGAGTGAGACAGGACCGCGAGATCTTTTTAACTTCTGGAGTGGAGGGTCTGAAAAGAAAGAGGCCTGAACGTAAAGAATTCCCATTTTTGTTCCATGGGTGGAGTTACTTTTTAAGACTGATGGATACTGACCTTGGGAACTCCACTAATGTTGGACCACTGACCTGGTGGGACAGAGGGCAAGGCTACCCGCCCCAGAGTGGATCGGGCATTTTCTACAAAAGGAACTGAAATCTAAAATGTTAGAAGAGGTCTGTCTCAGTGCTGAAAAGGAGGACTAAGTAAGAGAATTGTAGACAAAGATGAGATCAAAACTTCCTCCACTCTCTGGAGTTAAAGAATGTTCTGGTCAGGAGTCTGAGGTGTAGAGACTAACAATCACGTAACAATCCGACATCAAGTCACATGTGGGATGTTAACTGTACGTTGACTGTGGGGAGGTGATACGCTCTGTCCAGTCTTTTTGAGTGGCTCCTCATGAACAGACAGACCCACCTTACCTGAGATCCCCTGCCTTAGCTGTCATGGTACTCCCATGCTGCCTGGCTCTCCCCAGAATTCACTGGGGAACATCAGGGGTGTGCTAACTTCCCTGCCCTGAGACACAAATATTCTGCGTACTTTAAATTTGACACTGTTCCTGGGATCTTAAAAAAATCATTTGATGTGGTGTTAAAGCTTCTCTTAACCCTTAAAATCATTGCCACCTCATGAATAAACTTGATTTATTAACTTGGTCTTTCTTTATTCCAATGAGCCAGTTACTCACAGCTATAAGGTAACTTACGTGAGAAGTTTTTTATTTTCTCACTCATTGGTTTGAAAGGTAGGACCTTTGATATATGAACACAATTTAAAATAATCGCTTCCATGTGAAATTGTGTTTACAGAGCTTGTCAATGTATATTTCTCACATTTGATCATTATAATTGACCTATGACTGAGGGGTCTACATTCACTGAGGCAGAACTGGAGGTTCTGTGGTCATGTTCTAGCCAGTGGGGGGAGCTGGAATGTGGGCTTGAGACTCTCCAGATCACCTCAAGGTTTGGGATTAAGTGACCTTTGTAAAAATAATGACTCCAAGGACCTAAGAGGATTGGAGCAAAGAAAAGGCAATCAAAAACAAATGAGAGGAAAAGCAAGCAAGCAAACTATACAGTTAATTTTCTGTGTCAACTTGTCTGGGTCATGATGGCCAAGTATTTGGTCAAATATTTTGGATATTTCTGTGAGGGAATTTTTGATGAGATTTACATTTAAATCAACAACATTTGAGTAAAGTTGATTGTTCTCCATAATTTGGGTGGGCCTCATCTAATCAGCTGAAGATCTAAAGAGAAGAAAAGTTAATCTCCCCTGAACAAAAGGGAATCCCACAGCACACTCCCTTCTGACCTGGTCTGCAACACTGGCTTTTCTTGGGTCTATGGCAGATGGTCTTTGGACTCGAACTACAACTTTTTCCTGAGTCTCCAGCTTGTCTGCCTCCCCCATCAGATTTTGAACTGGCTAAACCTCCACAAGCATGTAAGCCAATTACTTAGAATAAATCTCTTTTTGTATAGAGATACATCTACTGGTTCAGTTTCTCTAGAGAGTCCTAAGATATAAATGAATAAAGAACCACCAGCTATAACCTCAAAAGGAAAAAAAAGATGGCATGTATCTGGCTAATCACTCAAAAGTTTTGACTACATGACTCTTAGTTGACAGCAACAGAACGAAATGCAAGAGCAAATAAGCACTTTGTAGTGAGCCTCTGACACATGGAAATGGTGATTTATTGGCTATTTAACTCTGAGCCATCTGCTTGGGATAGTAAGAAGAGAACAGTTAGATGACTCTGCTATCAGGTGTGAAAGGTCAAGCTGGAAACCTACCTGGGAGGTAAAATGAATCTTGCAAGAGGTGAAGATGGGAAATAAAGGGATATCTGCCCTCAACAAACTTGTCAGCTGCCTTTGATCTCTAGCCATGTTTGATAGATACATCTTATAATGTGAAATGAAATTTAGAAATTGTCTCAGATGTGTTTATATTCAATCACATGTCTGTGTCAGGCAAAAACCTCTCTGCCATCTGGAAGCTCCTGGCCAAGTTTTAGGGTGGTCAGTCTTACCAAGTGAACTTGTCTTTATCCATCTTGCATTCATTACATAAATTTACATCTTTAACCGATGCATATTGTATGCTTATTTTACTAGAACTTTTCAAGAAAATGGTGCAGCTGCAATAAACCCATCCAAGCTCTTGCCCTCATGGGGCCTACATCCAAACAGAAGAAGAAAGTTCAAAAATAAGTCAAAAGAGATAAAAGTCCAGAGAGTGATGATCTTTTGTTTATTCTAAAGAGTTCTTATGGAAAAGCAATGCATTTTACTACCTTCAGGTGAGAAAAATGAACCAAATTCTATAGGACTCCAGAGATTTACAAAATGGTACAAATGATCTATTATCTAACTTTTCCCTCACCTCTTTTATGGAATAGTATCTCCACCTCTCCATCAAGAATGGATTTGATTAGGCTGTGTGTACAGCCAAATGTATGCCATCAACAATATAGCTATATTAGGTTAACTCTTGCTGTAGTGAGGAGTAGCAAACAAGCCCCCAAATATATAACAAGTTTAAAAGAATGTAGTGTATTTCTTGCTCATCTAACCATCTAACTTGATGGTTCTCCCCAGAGTCTTTAAGGGACTGAGGCTAATGAAAACTTGGCCATCATAGTGGGGCTTCTAAAGTCTCCATGATGATCTCAAATCCAGAAGGAGAAAAGGACCCTTGAGGAGTGTCCATGGGAGGTGTTTATGGGCCAGGTCTTGAAGTGCAAAGTGCTACGCATAATTTCCACTCTCATTTTGTTGGTTAGAAATCATTTAATACATCCACCCTAAAAAAAGAGAGGAGGCTTGTTGCCCAGGAAGAAGACCAGACTGCGGATTTGGTGAATGGTTAGCAGTGTCTGTCTCAGAGGCTTATTTGAAAGATGCTCTATCTTACTGTCTTGAGGCATCTTATTATTTTTTTAACTTAACAATACATCCTGAACATTTTTCATGTCATTATTTTTAATGGCGGCCTAATTATGTGCCCAGTGAATTTAACATATTGTTGGCTATTGAGGGGATTTCAGCATTAGGGGACTACATAGGAATAAAGATGTAATTAATAGTCTAGCACATACAGCTGATCGCACCTAGGGTTCTTTCTTTATGACTAACTCAGAAGAAGAATCATAAGACCTAAAGGTTTAAGCGGTCATAAGGTTCTTCACATGCACGACTGCACTGCTTTCCAGAAAGGCTGCACTGGTCTGTACCCCTGCCACATGTTTTTGAGAAAGCTTCGCATCTAGATAGGCTACTGGCCAGAATCACATGGGGATTTGACATGTACCAAATCCCAAAAACAAACAGCAATAATTTGCTTCCCTCATGAACCTAATCATCATTCTGAAAGTTACCAGAGAGCATCAGGCATTTGCACAGATCCCTCCAAGGGATAAAGTGATGTGTTTGTTTTTCATGCAGACAAGGATGCTTTGAAGGCAATCTGCTGGACCACGTTACCACCGTCACAGCTGTTAACCGAGTGTGTATTCAAGGCCTTCTTACATAAAGTGTTTCTTTTAACATTTTCACTAACCCTGAAAGGTGGTGATTCTTTAGAGATGAGGAAAGTAAAGGTTGAGAATTTAAAATTAAGAAACTTGTTGGAATCACAGTATTTCACAGAGCCACCCAATTGCTTGTTCTTTCAACAAATACTTATTTAGTACCTTCTATGCATCAGGCACTGTTCTAGGCATTGAGGACACAAGACTGAGTTTAAAAGATTCCAGTTTGCTCTGATGGAATTTAAAGTTTAAAGTTTAGTGGAATCAAACTCATACTTCCCTGACCTTTAATTGCAATGTCTTGCCTTCTGGATTATTATCCTTTTCTTTTTTCTATTAGGACTGAAGGAGTGGTCTTCTGGTGAGCCATCCAAGAAAATACTTCCTTTGGGAAGACATGCAGTGTTTGTTTCCTCCCAGAGCCATCTGTCATGATTGTGTTGAAGACAGCCACATGTGAAAGGAAGCCATTCAATCAAAACCGGGGACATTGATTACAAATATACACACACGCACGCGCATATATAGTGAAAGTGTACTTTGTGAAATTTGTGGAAAACGTTGTTAGCTTCTTCTTCTTCTTTTTTTTTTTTTTTGAGAAATTATTCCTTTAGTCCAGGAAGGGACTGCACACGTCTTCCTCCTTACCATGTACAATTTACTCTAATTGTGAATGGCTTGACACTAAAGTGCTTTGGAAAAAGTTCCAGTTTTTAGGACAGGTTAAATGAACTACTTCATCAAATGTCAAGGAGTTGGAGTTTCCTGGCACTCTGCTGGCTGCCACATTAATCTGCTCTGACCAGCGAGTTTCCTTTATTGCTCCTTAAATCCTTCACCATGATATG